TCGGGGGAAAGGGCTCCCCGCGGCGCTTCTCGTCCATGGTCCATTCTGGGTCCGCGTTTTGCTGAATTTTCTGCAGCCATGCAAGCCTCGGCTTCGCGACTTGGTGGATATCCTGTGCAACCACTGACCACTGCGCGAGGTCGCGGGGCGGTAAAAAAGGTGCCACGCGGCTAGTAGTATTTCTTCCGATGCTCCACCTTTTGGAAGCACGCCCGCCGCCCGCCGTCGGGACGACCACGCCAGCAGAGCTAGTACTTCGAGTGGCCTTATCAAATCCAAAAATATGCCTGGGTCTGGAAAATGTAGTCATGCAGGTTTTGTATGGCCGCCCAGAAGCAGGTCCTCTGGATCATTCTCGGGCCCGGCACTACAACAGAGGTTCTTCTTCTTCTTCTGCGACGGCTTTGCAATGCCTATTCTGCATGAGAAATCCTCTGTCCCGGTGGCCAAAAGTGGACAGGTTTTGCATTTGCTGTTCATGCATATTCTATTTATAGCAGATCTTTGTGTAGTGGCCGTTGAGAGCAGATGAGAGAAAGCATCTCAAATTCCAACCCTTCCAGACCCAGACATATTGGCATTTCATAGGCCGGTGCCGAGGACGATCGACGCGCTAGTGTCGACTGCGCTGCGCGTAGTCGAGGACGAACGGCTATCAAATGTAAAAATGTCTGGGTCTGGAAGCTTGCCAGGTTTGTCATGCATATTTTGGAAGACTCATGATGTCTGTGATGCATGCTCTAGCATGACAGATTTTCAAAGGCCTTTGTGATGCCTCTACCGCATGAGAAATGCCCTCTCCGGGTAGCACAAAATGGAGTTCTGTTGCCGGTCATGCAATGCAAATTTTTTTAGAATCCAGAGACAGCATCACAAGTTTAGAATCTTCCAGACCCAGACATTTTTACAATTGATAACGGCGCGCGCCGAGGACGAACGGCGCCGAGGACGATCGGCCCCGTTGACGAAGTAGAAGAGCGCGCACCCGAGAAGAAGCGGGCCAAGATGTCCTGAGTAAAAACGTACCCACACCAGAGTTGTAATGCAGATTTGCAAAGACAGGAAGACTTGTAATGCGCATCCGCATGAGAGCCATTTCCAATCGTGTTTTGGAATTTGTGATGCTGTGAACAGGATGAACAGATGAATCTGTGACGCGGCTGCACTTGCTAACCTGCACTACACTGCAGAGTGCAACTTGTCATGCGTGACTCACAAAACTCCTAGGTTTGTGTTGCAAAATCTCCATCCTGACTCTGGTGTGGGTACCTTTTTACTCAGGATACAAGAGTGATCTTCTTGAACACCGGATGAACATGGAAACCGGAGGACGATTGCGTCGATGTCGACTGCGCCGCCGCGGCCCCGTTGACGAAGTAGAAGAGCGCGCACCCGAGAAGAAGCGGGCCAAGAGTGATCTTCTTCAACACCGGATGAACATGGAAACCGCCACGCACAGTACAACAAGCAGAGCTGCCAGTACAACCGAGAGGGGGCGCAGCAGACTTTTCATCTCCTCGCGTCGCAAGTAGTTGTCCCACCATCATTTATTTTCTACTTGTGCTACCTTGTAGTGTAATACAACTGTCCGAGGGAGATAAATAAAACGGCGCAACAAAATTTACTTAGCTGTTCGAAGATCACACGCGTCGTCCTCAGTCACTTTTTGTCGCGAGGTAGAAAATTATAAAAGGGCGCAGCTCGATGAACCTCAATTTCTGCAATAGAAGTGGGTTTCAGGTGAACTAGAACTACTTGTAGTTTTGAAAATGAAGTGAATCCTGCGTCAATTTCTCAATATTGCCTTCGGTTTAATTTAGATTTTGATTTTGCGCTCCAAGTCGATCTTCTGTTGCTTTGACTTTATTCTGGATCTGTTGCTTTTACAACTATAGCTGTGCTGTAGTTTATACTTTCCAGCTGTCGTGTGAGTAGAGGGGAGGTTTTTGACCGAGGAAGAAGAGCCGTGATCTTGATAGAAGATTAAATTCATTTTTCTTCTTGTTCACGCGACCTTGTTTTCTTCTTGTTCAGTTCACTAAGTAATAGCCCGACGACCTCCAGGAGCCGTCGCGACAGCCATTTGACGATTGCACTGACCTTCTTTGACCTTTTTGCAAATGCACTTAATATCTGGGTCTGGATCATTCGTGTAAACTTGTGCCGCGCATTTCAGGTCACGCAAAAATGATCTGGCACGCATGGGCCGAAAAAGTTGCTCATCTTGTGTCACCGAAGGAGAGGATTTGTCATGCGAGTTAGGTAATGCTTCATGTCCATCTTCTCAAAACCTGTGAAGATGCTAGGCGTTGCATACCAGATCCTCTGCGTCATGCAAAAACAGGAGCGCCAGACACGAGTATAATAACTTTGCATTCGATAATATGTATATGACGTTCAGGCGTTCTCTTTTGCAGACCCTTCTGCATGTGGTTCCGGAGATGAACATGCGCGCGCGCCTACTTGGAACTCAAAAAAAAGAACAAACTTCAAAGCTGATGAATATATCAACAACAAAGAACAAGTTTTGAACAAGTGTATGAGTCCAACGACGACTTCGCTTCCATCTTGCTCTACACATCTGGCTGTTTTTTTTTTTTCAATACACCAATCACACATCATCTCCACCAATTATTATACAAGGAAAAATACTTCTTTCCATTCCAGTGTTTCTTTTTTTCTTCATTGCATCACCTCCCAGGATTACGAAAGCAGTGACTTTTTTCCAGAAAGAAAAGTGTAAGAAGCACCGTAGCCCATTCCCGTTGCTGATCCGAATGCTGTAACATCATAATTCCTTCTTCCTCGTAGGCTGTAGATGCAAGCAGGGCAAAGTGAGCGGTTTATAGATTGCACATATAGATACATGAAGAGTTCT